GTCGGTTTGAGCTCCTTCTGATGTGGACAGCTCCTGCAGGACTGAACCAAACCCTGATCACGGAACAGATCCCAGTGCACAAATGCACTGGGCTTGATTAAGATTTCCTGACCTGTCTTTCTTTGGCGAGTAGACACTGATAACCAGACCCTGTCAATCACACGCGCTGATCTCCCCTCCTTCCCAAAGGCAAACTTGTTTAGAGAAGTTGCTGTTGCTGACAGCTTGGCTTTTTTATCCCACATGAAAAATAGATTTGGGCACATTAAAAAAATAAAACAAATGAGCCACAAGGATCGAAGGCTCGTTTGTGCGTTTCGGAGCCATGTGGTGCGTGAGTGACCCCTCGACATCCACTCAGTGAGCTGCTGTCATTGGGTTGGATTAGCCACAAACATGTGTATGAAAACACTTAACGCGTTCAACCGAAATATTCTTACCGCTGTGCGAGCCTGTGAAGATGCTTTAAGATGTAAGATGATCCTTTGTTCGGGGGGGAAAAAAGGGATGGTCGTTTTGGACTTGGTGAGGTCCAAACTTGAATCCCGCCGTTGATTTCTTTCTTTTCCTCCTCCACTTCTGGGGAGGGGAACCAGCAGAACGGATCACGAATGTCTCTTTTTTTTCTTTTTCGATTTGATCTCACAGCATCACCACGAGACGGTGCGAGCGGCGCGTGTCCATGTGTTCCGCGTTCGGCCGAGCTACGTCGATGTCTCTATGTGGTCTGCTGCGTAAAAACCCGGTGCCAAAATTCCTGCGGGCCCATTCCGTTACAGAGACGCGAGACAATGGTCTGGTCATTTTGGCACGGGCGGAATCCCCCCCCCCCCCCCTGTGCCAACAGCGGTCGTATCTACCGGTTAAAAGATGCTCCTCGCCGCTGGTTGGCTCATATTTCTACGATTGGCTCGATAATTTGGTTCTAAATATGTCAGTCGCTCACGTGCCAGTGGACTCTGGCGTTGGCTTTCGGGTTCCTCATCGTTCTCCCTGGCAGGAGTAGTGGACAGCTGATCTGTTGATCTCTGGGGGTCCACCTCTCCGTCCAGCGGTGCCCGTGTCTGGTTTATATGGGCAGGATCAGGCTCTCTTCCACAGGCTGGCTCCGGCTGAACGCGGTTACCACTGACTGACAGCTGGATTGTCTCAGTGAGAGCCGTCTTTGCTGGGGAGCAGTCAGAGCAGGATGTTGCGCGTACGCGTTCTGGCCGTGCGCGCACCCGACAGGTCACATCGCTCGGGTCCATAAACATCTGTCTCAAATAAGGGGCAGTTCGGATCCGGAGATTACATCATTGGTGCCTTTTAAAAAATCGATACCACACAGCAGTCTGTGTCTTCAAAAATATGGAGCAAATTACGGAGGGATCGCACATGAACTGGTCATTTAGATTTCTGGTTTAATCCATTTAGACGCAGAACTTCGTTTCCATTTACATGTTTTCCGGCTATTTTTTGTTATTGGCCGTGTTAATATCTCAATATTATATAGTTATGGCAATAAATAGGCAAAACGACTATGAATATAAATGTCATTTTCATATTTCTTAATTCAGTAAGGAAACAGGACATTTGCAAAAGGTACACAGTGAAAAATAAAAACACAAAGACAGGAATCAGCTTATATCGGTCTTTATTGAACGAAAGGTTCAGGTTGGTGTGGTTTGGCTTGCTAAATCCCCAGTTGATGCACCATTCAAGCCTCGTTGAGCCACTGAAAGCCCACCGAAAGGCAAGAATCGCAGGTTTAGTCAGCTGAATTGTAAAGAAAAAGCAACATGGGAAAAAAGACAACAGCTTTCACCATCAGGCTGAAAGTCTTACTCCCATAAAATGACCAATTGGATCCCCTGCCGGCGGATGTGTGTGTTTCCATGCAGAGAGAAAAGGCTTGGGGCTTACAGATGAGCTGAGTGACTTAAAGGTTTCTGTGGTGTTTTTACCGTTTTGTCAGCTCAGCCTGAGCCACGGCTCTGAACCCGTTCCAAATCTGCGACTGCGGAAGGCCTCGAGTGGCGGAACCCACACGGTTCATTTGGCTAATTGAAACCGCTGGTTGTTTTGCTTTTGCTGCTCAATTGTTCTCAAGTTGGCGTCCACACAAGTTAATCCGTGCTGCCTGTTTGGATCGGTCTGTTGACTAAACTCTGGGCCTCTGACGCAACCGGGAGGGAGTGATTAAGCCCAGCCATGGCCGAGGAGAGGGGGGCACATGTTTTCGGCGTGCGCAATTGTGTTTCCCCCGCTCACAACCTTGACCTCGCCGGACCTTAAATTGTCACGGACCTCAGGGGAGGCAGATATCCGGGTGTTATGCAATGCTTTTTTTTAGTGGACTGAGAAATCCGAGGATGGACTCTGGGAAGGTCAAGAAACAAGTGGTCCAGATTGGGGGGGTAGTCTTAAAGACAAGGGCTTTTTTTTTTAGAACAAATCGAGGCATTTCCAACCTCTTTCTAACCTCTAACCTGGTCTTTCAAATTTCTGACAAAGGCATCTTTAGATGTCAACATCTGCCAAACAAGAGGAACCGAAAGAGACACAAAAAACTGAACAGACAACAAAGCGGTTTCTCTCTTTGCGTTGACCAAGAGACCAGTTTTCTACTTGGTTTATAAAACTTTGCATCTTTTCACATCTCTTTAACATTTCTTGGAGTTATGACATGGTTTGAAGGCTGACTCAACCTTCATCATCTTCATTCAGCAATCTATAAATGATTGGCGATGTGTGTTTGCTATCAGCAGACAGCTTCCACGAAACAGTCTGATGAGACTCTCCGTGCCTATAGCCGGGGATTCTAGAGGGGTTAGATTGGCCCGTGATGTTAGCAGGAAGAGACAAGTGTGACTGAGTCACAGACACATGGCAGCGAGGTGCGTCTCCGCAGAGGGAGAGGACGGGCCGAAACGGCGAATACACGGAGAGCAGAGGAAAAGACGGCGGAGGAGGCCGGGTAAAAGCGAACGAGGCTGTAGAAGATAAGAATAAGAATAAGGCTTTGTTTGCCCCGAGTCGGGCCTGAACCACAGCTCGCTGCCGTCTATATTTAGCATAGGGACCGCAGATTGTAACGAGTGCTCCGGGCCCTTGTGTTCAGGCCGGCAGGAAGTGCTGCCATCAGCCTCGGCCCCTGCCAGCACCAGGAGGAAGCGGCCATGTCTGAGCGCACACTTACTTAGCACATGTGCAGAGCCCATTAGACTCTACCGGAGCAGATGCCCTCCTAATGAAGGTGACAGGATGCCAACCCCGAAGGCACCTGGGCGTCGATACCTCGATGAGGAGGACGAACCATCGCTCGTGTTTTGCTCCTCTAATTGGGTGTGCTCGAGCTCACAAATTCCAAGTCGCTTCTCCTTCCTTCCAGCATTTGAAAAGGGCAGAACATGCCCATCAACCGTGGGCCCACGTCTGCTGGAAATAAAAAAAATACTCGCCTCGTTGGAAAGTATTGACATTCAGTCCAAATGTCAAAAGTGGCTCCGGCCCTCCTCGACTCTTCCCGTTTGCACTGTAACCTTCATCATCTCCGGCACCTCCAGGACTGTTTGGGGGGGGGGGATTGTCAGCGCTGAGTGATGAAGGCCTGAGTGGTTCAGACAACAAAGTCTTCTGAAGGTGTGACCCAAGACTCAAAGTGCAATCCATCCCTAAGTGTGCTTAAATGCTGTGCTTCAGTGTTTGGGACTCAATATATAACACCACCGGCTCAATTTGTCACGCTCGGCGCGCTTTAATCTTTAACTACGAACACCGGCCGCGGTCAGCTCGACAAGACGCGAATTAAATTCCTCCATTAAAAAATGGTGCCTCTGCAGTATAACTCACTTCTTGGCTCCAGGAGTGGGTGAAAAACATCATGTTTCAAGCTTCGCCGGGAGGTGAAAGTGCGCTGTAGGACTGCAGAGGCAGATTTATTTATTTATGCTACAACCCCAATCGAAACGGGTGGGATGCTGAAGGGGGGGAAAAAAAAATATCGATTACTATGATTTTCAAATCATTGAAACAATAAATCCTTCACAACACAGCACAGGTTTTTAGCCGTCAGGGGGTTGGAAATATTTTTTAAAAAGAGTACCTTAAAGAAGCAGATTCTTTGAGAAGTAAAGGGTTCAACAGTCTCTCAAAAACTGTGCCTGCAAAGCAAGAATGTTTTTGAACGCTCCATCTTCTATATATTAAAAACAATATCATCCAAATACTCAGAGAATCTGGAGCCATTCTGAAAATGGCAGAGCATCAGTTTGGATGCTTGAAACAGATTCATAAATGCAGGTTGAAGTCAGACGTGCAGCCAGATGTGAACGCTGGAGTTTTCTCTACACGTTTAAAATGGACCGGCGTATTGTGGGTAGATGTTCTGCTGTCAGACTAAATAAAAATTGAATTTTTCTTCCTCCTGGAGAGTGGACTTTGTGGATGTTGCTGGGGTGCATCAGTGGCTATGGAACCGGAAACTTGCACATCTGGACAGGCACCTTTAGCATTGAAGCTTTGCACAGATTTTGGTGCAGCATATGCTCCCATCCAGATGTTGTCTAAAAACTACATCCAGATGGAGGACGGGAGGAAGGCCTTACAAACATTTGATACTTGCACATCTATTCCGATTACAAAGTTTGCAGCACTTTACCTTCAGAGCTGAGTTTGGATAGGAATTTGTCTGCTGACACATTCCATCTTTACACTTACTGGTACTAATCAACAGCTTGAAAACTTCGAATGACTTTAATCCTAGAATGTGTTGCTCTTCCTCTGTATGCAGCAATGCCGGCCCTAATCTTAGCTTTGTGTTTTCGTTGCCTGCCTTCAAACATCCCACAGCCGGCCCGTCAGTCACCGCCCACCATGTGCCCAGAGAAACCAATCACTCAAATCAATCAGGCCCGACTTTTCCGGTGTTCTCTCCAGACGGAGGATTCCATCAGTGGCACGCTGCCTCCGAGCCAGCCCCAACCGAATCCTTATCCTTAACTTTCAACAGGCTTAAAAAAAAAAAAGTTTTATTGGCGAGTAAAAGCAACATTAACATCCGTTTAAGAATTAAAAACACACTTTATTCAGACATGAACCAGATCCAACATCCGGCCTTATTTCTGCAAACTTCAGGGTTTTCTTACACTACAAAAATTAGACATTTGTACGTATAAAAAAGGGGAAAAAAAAAACTGTGATAGTTCTGCGTATCTGTGATTTTCATTTAACTATTTATCTGAGAGGTTTCCATTAGGACGCAGAACAAGCTAACCCAATGACCATGACGATCTAGCTTTGCAGAGAGTTTGTTTTGTGGTCAGATTTTACCCAGAGGAAAAAGGATCATCCGCTTTCTGTGAATGTGCAGTGGGGCTGGTGACCTCACATGGGGTAATTGAGCACCACGTCCTGTTTGGCCAGCTCCAACAACATGGGATCGTCGAAGAACTTGCTGATGCTCACGTCCTCGCTCAGACCCTGCCGGGACAAACGACGGGACAAACGGTGAGCGTATTAAAAACACAGCTCCTGCTGGACCGAAAAACCAAAGCGAGGGGGGGGGGGGGCGTTAAAAACAGGCTCACCTTGCGCCTTCGGGTCTTGATCATGAACTCTCTGGCTAGGTGGGGGGCCGGCTGGGGCTCGAGGGGCCTGATCACGATGCTCTTATCCAGGGGGTCACCTGGAACAATCTGAAAGAAGGTTTAAAAAATAAAAAAAAGGTTAAATCGGAACGGCGGACACAAAAGACCTCAAGTGTTGATGAGCTGAGTGGACATCTCTCATTGTGGCTTCAACCTTTCAGAAAATGTGCGATTCGAATGCAAATCTGTCCTGTTGCTCCTGAGTCAGGCCGGCGTCCATCAGTATGATGGAGAGAGAAATGTGTGAGCGCTGTCACAGTTTCACACGAGGCCGGGAATGCCACGTTAGCAGCCCCAGAGAGAAGACATCCGAGTGGACAGGCTGTTCGGGCATCCAGCGCGTTCCCCTACACGTGGAGCTCAGAGAAGCACCCAAACCAAACCCCTCGCTGTCACGGGCTCAGGATAAAGTCTGTGATGAGCAACGGAGGCCAGGGAACCCGCTCGTTGGGGGGCCTTTTGTCTGAAATAAGTAAGTTAGAAGGCAACAGACTTTTCCGAGCCTCAGGGGGGGATTTTTTTTTTTTTGCTGGATGAAAAGAGGGGGAAGATAATCGATGGGAGAGGCTGCAGCCCAATCACCAGATGGAGGAGAGCTGCTACCAGCGGGAAGTCAAACACCGTGCTGCTAGCCTCACGCTCGCAGTAACGATGGAGGCGCAAGGCGGCCGCGGGTTTAATGGAGCGAACGGGGGCTCGGGCTCCTGCCTGGTTCTCATCACCCGGCCCGGCTGAATCAATACGGAGTGAGCGGGAATCATTTTCCTCAAAGAAAAGCAGAGCAGCAGAGACGCTCACACAGAATCAGAGCATCTCAGGCATTATAGTATAGGGTGAAGATGCGTTTTTTTCTAAGGAAACACAGACTTGAATAATCGCACTCCGAGAGGGTGTCGAAACCCAGTCAGATTTCTGCTGACTTATCAATATATTCAAATATTATCCTGGAAAAATGTCGTGATGAGTGTTTATGTCTAACTGAAAGAGTTCATTTCAGCAAACTGCTGCTACCTGACACTGCCTGGCTGCTCTTATGATGCATGTTAGTTTTCCTGTGCGACACATATTAATCAATCATTTATATTTTCTTGTCAAGCGCTTGGATTTTCACCTCGGGGGGAGGAAGCCTGGAGTTCGGGGGTTAATCGCTAGGTACTTGCGCGGCTCGTAACGGGCCGGCGGTTGTGGCTCTAGAGGCCGCGGTGGAGCGCTGCTGTGCCAGTCACGGAGCCCTTTTCCCTGACACAGCTCCGCAGAGGGCAGCGGCAAATAGGTGTCAGTCAGAGAGGCAAAAGGCCACGTCGTGCTTAAAAAGTAACGACTCAACGCTTAATCGTGCTGCCCATCAAAAGCAGTTAAAGCGGAGTGGCGGGCGCGTGCACGGGGCTCCGGCTGCCACCGGTGTGAGTGAAGGGCAGCACGGCGCCGTCCGGCCTCATGTGTGCGGGTGGACAGCGGATAAAGAAACGGGCAGCTGATCAGAAAAGGGTCAGACTCAGTAAACAGAAGATTTAGAATTATGATAAAGCTTCTGAACTGTTCCAGTTATCAAATATATGGTTTTTATCCCGTCTTCAGATGCTTATAAGGTCAATGTAAATGCAGTGTGGTCAGGTGGGTAAGAGTTTGTTTTTTCGGGTTTCTGACAGAGTTCATACATATTTGTCCTTTTCAAATTTAAGACATTTTTAAGTCAATTACGACATCTGAACACAGACAATAACTGCAGGTATTTATCGAAGGTTCCGTAAGTCCAATGGAGTGTTTTATATGTATAAATACATTTTTTTTGTTATAAAAAGGGAAGTCTTGATATTTTCTCTTTCAATGTTGGAACATTCTAACATGTTATTCATGTATTCATTTGTGGGATCAGCTCTGTTTTTTGTTTTTTTTATATTTCGTGTTTTTTTATTCAAATCAGAACGAAACAGATCTGAAGTAGATCAAATCCTAAACTAATGGTGTAACAAAAATAGATAAACCAACAGGTGACATCCCTGTGTCCGTCCTTCACACATAATCTGGGTAAAAGGAACCCTTCTGGTGTGATCAATTCATTTAAACACGAGTCAATCTTATTTCTTGAAAAGATCTATGGAGTAAGGTGTGGGTCATCAGATCTTACCTGCCAGTGATGGAAGACGGACAGAGCAAAGGCCTGACCCTGTGTGTGTGTGCGAAGGTCTGTCTCAAAGCCGAAGGAGTCGATGGCTGGGATGAAAGCCTTAATCGTGTAGAGTGGAGAGCCGGGAATAGGAGCATCCTGGGTGACATGACCCCTAACAGGGGAAGAGCACAAGAAAAGTTTTAAGAAAATGAAAACTCGGCTGTGGGACGTTAGGATTGATGACTGGGGGCTGCATGACGAACCGACCTTCTGCGAGCTAGAACCGTGTAGACCGCGGACACGCAATCAGCCGGAGCCTGAACCTCGACAAAGTAGTACGGCTCCATCAACCTCGGAGTGGCCTGGGACACAAAGGACACTTCACATTAAAACGAGCACAGAAAGCCTTAGGGGGGGGGGGGCACTGTAGGATTCTCATGCAAAACTGCTGATGGATTTATGATCAGATCTGAGCTGGAGCCAAAGAGGGTGAAGACAGGCCAAAAGCCGGACAAAAAAAAAATGTTATCACAATTAAAAATAAAGCACATCAGCAAAATTCCAAACTCTAATCAAAGTAATGGAACATTTTAAACACAGCGGAGTCAAAGAAAGCCTTTGCGGAGGGGAAGTCAGTGAGGAGAAAGGGAGAAAGTGGGGGGGGGGGCTTCACCATGAGGAAGGCAGAGTACACCACTCTCCGGGCTGTGGGGATGACCTGGCCCCCTCCTCTGTGGAGCGGCTCCTGAGCGATCACAGCGTCCAGGATCTTGAACTTGACATTTCGGATGGCTGAGGGGCGGAGAGAAACACTCACTGACACCGAATGTTTCCAAGGGAAGTCAAAGTCAACAACAAAGCAGCCGTGGGAGGGACTTACGCTCGTCGCACAGGGGCCCCTCCCTGGTGCCCCACTGGAAGCCCTGAACGATGCTGTCTTTGACCGAGCCGAGGAGAGCTTTGTCCACCTGGAAACACCAAACACCTCAGATCAGAACGATGACAACTGATGCATCTTTTGATCGTCACTTAACCAACAAAACGAAGACTTTACTCCCATTTTTACATTCTGGTTCGGTGTTTTTATCCTGGTTGGTGTGATCTTAGTGTTTGATCTCTACCATTTGTCCATGTAAGGACTTTCATTTAGTGGAATCATTTCAATCCAAAATGGTCAACCAGGACACCACCTGGTGGCTGTTTATCTTCCTCCTGAGATGTCGTTGCACTGCGTGCTGAAATCCCCAGGGGGTGAGGCATTTATTACTGTTTTTTGCCCATGTTCTCTGTGGAACCCGCCTATTTACTCGCTGTCCTGCCCCTCTCCCAGGTTTTCCCTCCTCTGTCCCCTTGCTAGCTGCGCCCGTTTAGCCTCGTCTCTCGACTCGGGGACACTCACCTCAGAAGGCAGCGTGTCGTCCACGAGAATGTTTGGTCCTGTTGTGTCTGGCCCGAAGGCCCATATGGATCTGGCGGCCAGCAGATCCCAGTCGTACTTGGTCTGGAAAAACTCTCCCAGCTTCTTCCTGTCGCGGGGAAGCAGAACATGCATGGGTTGGGGGGAGGCGAGCGCCGGCAGTTGGAACATTATTGAGATTGGTAGATGTGAAGGGGCAGAGGGGTTAATGGAGGAGGCAGAGAGGCACGTGAAGTGTGTCACTCCGGTGCTGGCGCTGCCGGGCCCAGATGGCCTCAGAGAGGAAGGATCTGGGCGGAGGAGGCATTCAAGCATGCTCCTCATACAAGAGGGGAAATTCGTGCATGCTTTTAGTGCATGATTCAATTACTGTGAGTGAGCTGATCAGTATGCCAAGGTGAGTAGTTTTTTAATGAGGGCACATTTCTCTGATGTGGAGAAGCCTATTTTGCACAGTGTTTAAACACTCCGGTAGAGAAATCTATTCTGAGTACACAGATGTGAATAATAGTACTTTTGTGTTGTTTATTTCCAACATTTTAGCTTTATGTGCCTCCTCCCTATACAAGGAACCTTCTATATGAAAATTGGCCACATCCTCATCAGAGAGCGCACCTTTGGATTTAAAAGCAATGTGGCATGTCCAATAACTGCTTTAAAATGACTTCTTTCAGCCCTAAAGACTCCTACATTCTTCTACATTCTTCCATGACAGCATTTAATTAAAGAAGCAATCATGGCTCCTAAATGCCTGCTCATTTAACCCTGCAGAGGATGAATAGGCAGACAGGCGCACAAAAGAGGAGAAATTAATAAGTCGACATCAAAGGGAAATGAACACATTCGATATGAAAGGCAAACTATATATCACCCCGGTTAATTAGGAGAGGCTCTGACGGGAAAATGTGCCAGGCTGAAGGTGAGATTTTCAGTACCACACCTGTTCCATGTGATTTGCACCACTTCGTTCTCTATGTCTTCAGCCAGTCCCTTCTCCAAGGGCTCAGCAATCATGGTGATCTTATTCCTGTCGATCAAATCACAGAGCTGTCAGTCACACATCCTGAGAGGTGGGGGGTGGGGGGACTCAGCCAGGGGCAAGGACACACTCATGGAACTTAAGTCGGCGAGAAAACTCAAGTTAAGGCAACAAACTAAAAACAGGAGCGTCAGTTTATTTGGTAGAAATCGGTGAGGTCCTTTCAGCGTTGGGTGGATAATACTAGTGAGATGTGAAAAGAACAGATCTGATACACACTTTTTGTTCGGCGTCTCGGCGAAACACTTGAGCGACGACGTCTCCACCACCGTTTCACAGAAAGTAACCACTGGGTCGGCCACCTACGGGCAAAGGCGAGCGGGATCAGCCAACAGAAGCGGCGCCCGCCTCAGATGAACCGCGGCTGGTCCCCGCCGACCGGCGCTCACCGAACGGCTGCGCTTACCTTGATGTCGATCTCGGAGTACATCTTACGCAGGTCGTGCATGACGCAGTCCAGGTAGAGCTCCCCCGTGCCCAGGATGACGTGTTCCCCGGACTCCTCCACCTTAAAGCACACGCGGACGCTTTTTAGTCAGGGGGAGGGGGGGGGTTACAGCTGTGGGAGGAACTCTGCCAACCGCCAGCTGTGCAGACACCCACCTTTGTGGTGAGGGAGGGGTAGCTCTTGTTGACCTTCCGCAGGCCGTCCAGCATTTTGGGCAGCTCCGACGGGTTGACGGGCTCCACGGCGATCTTGATCACCGAAGCCGTGTTGAACTTTAAGGGCCTGAAAATCTGAGCCTGGCAGGAGGAACGAAACCCGTCAACTTGGATGCAACTTTCTAAAGGACGCAGATACTCTTGACTGTCGCCTCACCTCCTCGTTCCCTCGGGGCTCCGTGATGGTGGCGGTTTTGACTATCGGCTGATCGCAGCCCTCGATGAGAACCCAGTTGCCCGCGGGCACCCGGTTCACCTCGATCTGGTATCTGAGAGGAGGATCGGAGCGGGTTTTTAGTTTAAACGTAGGGGATTTGTGGTTGTAAGCGCTTAATGAAGCAAACCGAGCGGCGTACCTGGCCACAGAAATCCAGAGACGGCCCACCGTGCAGACCTGGGAGTCCTCCTCATCCTCCAGCGTGTAGTTCTCTCCTAAGACCTTGACGGGCTGGCCGGCCTGAATGGTCCCGCTCAGCACCCTGCCGAAGGCGTGGAACTGAACGCCGTCCTCCGTGCTGTACATCTTGGTGGTGTGGCACATCAGAGGACCCTAAAAAAGGCGTACGCAACGTTAGCACGGGGTTGGGAGAGAAATGCTAAAAATATCAATTAATTTAAGCTTTTATGTTAAAATGTAGGAAGAAATAAAGGTAAAGCCAAAGAGAGAAGCTTTAAGACGTGGACTGGTCAGTTCCATAAAATGAAGCCCCATCATACTCACATCAGGATCGCACTCCACCATAGCTTCCCCCAAATCGGAGTCCAGACCTCCAGTGTAAGTGTGCTCTATCTTTGTCTTTGCTCCCTCTTGTGGAGATGGAATGTGATGCACACACATGTCCACAAACCCTGCAAGGAGGCACATGATTGGAAAGGAAATAAATTAAGTTTTTTGTTTGTGAAAGATGATGAACAAGGCAAGGACGAAAAATCCAGACTGTGAATCTGATTGCTTCTGCTGGCTCTCAGTAACTATCATTGTGCAGTTTTGTCAAAGCGTTGCAATGCTGCAAACACAGAAGCCTCAAACTGCACAGTGAAACTGTAACAGGACGTACCGGTGAACTCCCCGAAGAAGCGATTACAGACCAGCCTGAGCAGGGGTCTTATGTTCAGCTTCAGCTCCTCCTTACTCAGGTGGATACCGAGCTCATCCAAAACTCGGGGGAGAGATGTGTCGCAATCTCCAACCACCTAGACATCAAAGGGATTTGGGGGAGGATTACACAGCGAGCACGTTAAGCCTGAGCCTGATGGAGGCAGAGCATTCGGAGCTGTTATGTTGCTTTCGTTAAAGGGGGAGAAAGAAAGGGAAACTGTAAGACATGTTTAACCTGTGAGAGGATCTTGTAGAGAGGCTCCAGGACAAATTCCACAAAGCTGCGCTGAGAGTTACTGCTGGGAGCTTTCTTTGTGAACTTGCGCCTGAGCAGAAAAAGGAAGAGAAAATGTATAGTTACAATGCACATGAAGAGGGAGACCTCACGGGAATCTTTAGCGGCTTCCTCACGTTTTGGGGTTGAAGTAAATGTCTCCCCAGAGCCTCTTTGAAAACTCGTTGTAGTTAATGTCGCCTGCAAAGAGAAAACGGAGCCGGTTATGAAGCAGACCGGGCTGTTTTTTGTAAAACCACGGCGTTCACAGACGAGCCCCTCTCACCGTAGGTGTCGGAGTAGATCTTTGCAAAGGAGCCCAGGGTGAAGCAGATGCTGTACTGGGAGCTGGCAAAGCACACGTTTCCAAGAAGGGGAGACACCACCAGGTTCTCATCTGTGGAGTATGTGCTGAAAGAGAGGAGGCGTTACCAGGGTAAAGTCCCTCAGAGAGAACCGAAGCAGAACACGCAGACTGAGTTCCAAAGCTACCTGAGCAAACCGTTGACCTCGTCCACGATGTGGCGCAGCTTGTAATAAGCATCTGTTGGAGGGAGCTTGAGCTCCACTATGAGCCGGTCCACCTTGTTGATGCAGATGGTGATGGCCATGCGCTCCTGGACGGCGTGTTTGATTAAACGCTCCGTGTTCAGCATCACCTAGACGGAGACACGCCGAGGTCAACTTAAAGTGGACCAAAGCAGGAGTATATCGGAGTATATTCAAGGGGAAAAGGTGAAAGAAAAGAAACTCACTCCTTCTGCTGCGTCTATGAAGAGGACAACGCCATCGGAGATCCTCATGCTGGATGTAACCTCGTCTGAAAAGTTCACATGTCCTGGGAGGAAGAGACAGGGATGTGTCTGTTTTGTGGCTCTCTGGATGAAATCGTGTCATCAGTAAAGAAAGCACCATGTTGGCATACACACCTGGTGTATCCATGATGTTAAAGAGATACGACTTTCCTCTGGAGTCAGGCAGGACCATGGTGACAGGAGTACTTTTGATGCCAACTCCTCTCTACAAAATTCAAAGGATGAAGAGCATCAGGAAATTTCTAATGATTTTCTGAAATGAATCTGACTTCAACTGAACCAAAGAACTCACCTCCTGCTCTGTAAAGAGGATGTCTGTGTACCGGAGCTGGAAAAGTGAAAACATTGTGTTGGTCTAAGCTGTATGTAAGACCTGAGAGTAATTAAGAGTAAAGCACACTGAGAACACTCACATCTACGTCATCTCTCTTCCTGATTTCCGGGTGGGTCTGTTCAATCAGGCAATCTACAAAGCAGGTCTAAATGGAAACGTATCCATAAAATTAACTGTTAGAAACTAATTCTTTCACTTTCAAACACATGTTCTCTTGAACATAATACTGTGGATGGGCCTTAACCCAGACCACAAAGGTAGGCTTCTACAGAGCAACAGCCTCTGACCTTGCCATGGTGAAGGTGACCACAGAGGGTGACGTTACGGATCAGCTCAGGACCGTCCATCAGGTCTGCAAGAAATCTGCCAAAAGACAACTTTGTTTAACGATCCACAGATCTACATGCACATAAGACATCATACTAAGCATTACCAGCTTTGCTTTCGATCAGATCAAGATTATTTCTTGACTGATTAAAATACAACTGGATTAGAAAGATTTTGCACAGATTACTCACTCCATGTCGTAAACAGTAGCAGGTAACTCCTGCTCCATGAGAGTGAACTGCCTGTGCCTCACAGGCTTAATGATGGGTTCTAGAAAGAATAAGAGAAGATAATAGGGTTAGATCAAAGAAACTTTAATCTGTTGTGAACACACATTGCATCATGCCATATATAAATGAATAAATACTTAATTTCTTTAGGTTATTTCTATTGAAAATGTCCTAATATAGCCAAATCAAGGATTAAACGGGAAAACAGAATACCCATATTTCTAACCTGTAAGCGGTTGTGTGTCTTCCTCCTGGACAATAGTTTCCACCTCTGGTCCATAAACTTCCTCCGCAGTAGGGTAGTATTTTTTGTCCTCATGCAGGACCACCTCCATGCCCGGGACATCATCATCAGCATCCGCAGGCTCATCATCGTCATCTTCGTCACCCTGAACACAGGAACAAGCACCACAGAGATGCAAAAGCAGCTTTAAAAAACAAAAACGCTGTATGGTTATGGCCATGAATTAGACGGATACCTCACCTCGTCAATGTCTCTGTCCTCTGCCTCCAGATCATCTTCATCATCATCAGAGTCAAGCTCTGGACCGATGTAGTTTCCAAACTCATCATACAGATCAGCCTCCATCTTGACCAAAGCTGAATGACAGACCAATGTTTTTAGGTAAGGCCATGTTAGGGATTGTGGAGAATACAGAGAAGTAAAAACAAAACTCGCGTGTTATTTTCAATTCTAAATATTCTTAATGCTAACCTGTACCAAGAGATACCCATTTTCATTGTGACATTAAATATGTTTATCTCGGTTTTTAATTGCCAATGAAGTTATGCATTACACAAAATCAACCAGATTGCGTTTAAACGTTTAGGTTAGCCTTGTTTAAGTTCTTATTTTCTACTCCGGGGACGGAGAAACTATAACATAAAAAAGAAAAGTACATAAATAAAAGTAGTAGTGATTAAATAAATCACAAGCTAACATGCTAGCAGGCTAAAATTAATAGAAATGAATGGACTGGAGGCAACGTCTGCGTTACGTCGTTATTCTGCTTGAGCTAACGCTAGCATTCTAGGAATTGCAAACTGCACAGACAAATTGCAAATTAAACGTACCGGTTCCCGGTTACAAAGCAGCCAGGGAATTATAGTTCCAGTAAAATAGAATAAAAAGTAAGTTTTCTCAATCACACGACCAAAAAATTACACAAATAACTCCATGCGCCCGAAACACTACTTCCGCTGTTCTTCTTCTTCTGTTTCAATGCAAACGAAGAGAGCATTGATGCTCACTATCGCCCCCTGTCAAATAAAAGGGATATCACTGGCCAAAAAGGTATACGTATGGTTATTGAGAAACTGAACTCGTTTGGACGTCTTTTAATCATGAGTAGTAGCTCCTGGTTTGTACGATTATTAACCGCTAGATGTCTTTTAACAATCGTTACAGTGTCTTTGCCGGTCGCTCCGTGCCGCCGACCCCCCCCCTCCCTAAATCTTTAAGATATTTGGTTGAATCTGCTTTAGTTTAGATTCTCATTGGTTTGGTTTTAGTCATGTGACTTGTTTTTAGTCATGTGACAAAAACAAGGAAGTGGGCGGGCTACCGCGCTACCGCGGTAAAATACGAAAAACGGAAAACCGGGAATACCGGGAAAACCGGGGAATATCGGGGAAAACGGCCACCGGGGGATATCACTGTCGGAGTAGCCCTGCACCGAACCCCGGTATCGCGGGAGCCCTGGGACGCAGTAGCCCGGTAGCCCCCCCTCCGGCCCCCGGTGGCCCGGTTGCCCGGTAGCGCGGTAGCCCGGTAGCCCCCTCTCCGGCTCCTTACCTTGTTCGTCCCTTGCAGTGAGAGTCCGCCATCTTGCCATTTGAGCAAATTTAAATCACTCTGGAATTTGGAAAAAAAAAATCAGGGGTTTTCAAAACATTTAGGGAAACTCCAGATGGGAAAACAAGTAAAAGTTGCAAAATGACATTTAGTCTTTCAAATCTTAATTTTAAACTGTAAACAAGGAAAAAAGTACAAGTAGCTTATAACTGTACTTATAATATAGAATGAATATGACTGTTTTAAAAATATAAAGTAAAATTTAGGGGGACATTATCGCTTTAGGAATGCTTTTATTGTTGAATATGTTTCTGTCCTTGTACAAACATTTAAAATCTCAGCACTTTGAGTCAGACTCTGTCTGACTCAGAGTGCTTGTCAGGGGTTTTTCTCAAATACAGCATTCAGCACAAATATTAACAATTGTAAACATAAAACAACTCCACATTACATTGCACTAATTAGATATTACAAAGCTTGCCACTGCTTTTCTGACTGATGCTGAGCCCAGTTCTGTTCTCTACTTTTGCTTTCAGCATATTCATCAGCGCACACACTAACCAGTAGGATGACTAAACATTTAGGTATGGTCATTTTCATGGGACAGAAAGATGTTTGGAATTATTTATTGTGTGCGAAAGTTTATAAAAAAGCCTTTAAGAGAATGTTTTCCTGGTACAGCTATTGAAGGCTCAAGAGTAGCAAAGAACAATGAAACCCATACAACTTCAATCAATATTAACCTTTTCTAATGAATATAAAGAGAGAGAAATATATATCTAAATAATTTGTGCTAAAGACATCAAGTTATCCCAATACACATTGCTGGAGATGGCATTGATTCACATTTCATTTGGAATTCTTCCAGGCATCCTGCATTGATTTTTCACCAGTTGGTGAGATATAAAATGTGCAATTTTACATTGTCACGTCTCTGCTTCTTCCACACTGTTGTTCACGTGGCATGCAGGTGTTCCTGCCTCACACACATTCACACGGAAAAATATGTGAACACAGACATTCAGAGCTTCTGATAATGACATGTGCCGACAAGAGAGGCAAGACATAGGTTTTTCCAATACTAGGTCCTCCGCCAGACCCCTCACAGATAGGCACTCATCCTTATCCGTCCTGTTTCATAAACCTTTGAGAGGAATTTTAGCGTGACAAGCCGATGACAAGTGCGAGGACAGAGTTAAAGTGCTACACTCTCCTCTCAATGAACAGCTGCCGTTGAAATCCCAAGAGGAAGGCCTTTCAGTTTAAACTGCTGGAAAACGCCATTCACTGGTCAACAGTGGTGAGCTGTGATTGCACTAAGCAGCTTCCAGGTGTGAAGGCATGGCAGCACAGTTGCAAACAGCATGCACTGGAGCTCTGAGGAGGCTTCTTTGACAAAGAAAAAGAGAATAACACAAGAAAAGGAGTACAACAAACAGCAGCTGTCTATATTCAGTTAAAGCAATGATCTCATGCACTAAGTGCTCAGAGTTGAGATGGGGGCATATAAGAACGTACAGATTGGCTGACACAAGACGTGAACTGGAGAAGGGGAGAAAAAGGGGTCTGGCTGTGGCCTTTTAACTCAGCCAAAAGGATTTGCCTCCTCCTCTCCAAGACTCCTCAATCTTTATGGCTTTTTTTTCTTTTTTTTTCTTGCATTGGCCATTTTCACTGTATAGAGAATGTGGGATTCTTTCACTGAAAATGGATTTTACAAACAGCTCTTCAGAAACATTAAAACATGTGTGCTGATGTGGTTTGCAGACTGTTTGTCAAGTACGCTTAACATTCGATAAATCACCAATGCTGAATTTAATTATTCTCTGTTGAAATCATGTCTGTCTTAGCATCACCAAAACAATTCATGTTTATGAGTTCAAGTGATTTGGCTCAGTTTAGCTGTAAAACGTTTCCCCGCCCATTCCTGATGAATGAGCCATGGATGATGTGAAGGGTGACAGACCAAGTAGTGTGGCAAAGTAAAGCCTTTTCCCCCTTACTGAATTTCACTAGGGGCTCATATATCAACATTTTCAGCCAGATTAGTCACCAATTTGGTATCAATCCACGCAGAGGAAACTTTTTCCATTTTCATAGCATTTCATTATGAAAACTTAAAGTTGTCATCATCTCCTTACCATGGTGGCTAAATACAGTTACTCCGGAATGTTAATTAAGTAAAAACGGCTCACTTATGCATCTCTTTTCAAACTGCACAGCTAAAAGTTTGAGAATACTTTAGGAACACTGTCATAGTCTATTATAGTTATGTTTATCTCATTTTTATATATTTAAATAATTTCTTTTTGCGCATACATTTTTCAATAAAGAGCACAAATGTCCCCTTATTTCAGAAATGTTGAATAAGACGATTAATTAAAAGTATATGTACTGGAGTGATTGTGATCAGTGAATTAATGGGATGATGTTAAGATGATGTAAACCATGCGTGTATGGTTGAAGAATTCACACAGTGTTTCAGTTCATGGCTTTATTCCTGCTGGTGCTTTTTTTCAATAGGCAAAGCCTAGTGAGGACATAACAATCTCGTTAATAATTAAACAAACAAGTTCCTTCACACACAGATATACATTTTTGAATCAGACAAAGACTGGGAAGCACATTAATAAAAACATAATTTGGTCTGTTTAATACCCATAGCCATCAGATGGCAGTATTACTGTGATTTCATATATTAAGAGTATAATTTGTAAGCTCATTTTATATTCCAACAGAGAGGTGCAAAGCATATTTTTTAAAATGCAATAGATGATCAAGTTGATATTGGCACAAAATTCCATATGGAGAAATAAAAAACAAGTAATGTTAAACAGCACATAAGAGAGTGGATCAAAGCAAGTGACTGAAGGATTTGACACGCTAAATGGGCCTTTGATTTACCTTTTTTATTTTCATTTTCTTAAGGTAAGAGCTGATGAAGGCTTTCATCTACCAGCTGATTTTATGCTGGACGTCTATCTGAAGAATGACCTTCTGACCCCATATGACAAGGAATAGGCTAAACACTGACTGAGGTACATGGGACGAAAGAAAGACGGATCTCTTTATTTTTAGAGTAAGTTCAGTTATCTATATGCCTCTAAAGATAAGGTTTATTGGGTATATCTTTTTTATTTATTTATTTATTTTTTACCTGAGAACATGTTTTTAAGAGTCGACTGGTTATTTTTAGCTCTCCTGCCTCCACCCGTACGCTGCTATTCGGCCACCAGCTTCCGCAGCCGCTGCACCACCTCCTCGGCGCTGACCCAGGGCACGGTGACGGCTCTGAACTCCCCCGGCGTGGCCTCGTGGGTCTCGGTGATGAGCCGGTGCATGGGGAAGTCCCTCCGCGGGAAGGCCATGTCCCGGGGGCCGAGGGCCAGCGCCGGGCAGAAGTCGTTGGCGCCGTCCCCCACGTAGAGCACCCGCTGGAAGGGCCGGCCGCGCTCCTGCGTCCGGCGCGCCACGTAGTCCCTGACCACCGCCTGCTTGCACATGTTGTCGGGGCAGCGGGGGCAGTCGTGGGAGTGGAACGGCCGCATCACCAACCGGCCGTCCCTGTTGAAGGTGGCCGGGTTGGTGAGGATCCGGTGGAAGAGCTGGCGGGCGCCGGCGCGCCGCAGCCAGGACTCGATGAAGAAGGTGTTGGCGTCGGACACCAGCACCACCTCGAAGTCCTGCGCCGGCCGCACGCGCAGGAACTGGAAGAGGGCGGGCATGCCGGGGGAGGCCGGCATCTTCTCCATGACGGCGCGGATGTCGCTCTCGGTGACGCCCTGCTCGGCCAGGTGGGCCAGCACGCGCTGCATGTACTGGTTGTAGCGGCCCGGCTGGTAGGTGTCCTTCAGCCAGCCGGGCAGGTGCTGGCCGGGGGCGGCCTGCACCACCACGTCGTCGCTGGTCTCGTCCACGATGGTCTCGTCGAAGTCGAAGAAGATGAGGAAGCGCTTGTCCGAGGAGAGGCGGCCCGAGTGGGAGGCCATGGCGTCCGGGCGTCCGGGGTCCTCCTGGCCTGAGGGCTGAGGTGGGACATAACAGCAGGTGAAGACCCGATCCCCCACGACCCACTAATGGCACCCGGGGGGCATTAAACCTCCACTCCTCCACTCTGCAGCATCCCACGCAACACGGAGCGCTTAAAGTGGAGGTTAGGGTCTGCTCTCTGGGAGACATCGACGCATACACATGAGGGGTTGGGAGGAAGCAAAACGGAATCATTTAAAAAAAAAAGAATAGGTAACACATAACTGAGGATGTTTGAGAGTGAGGCTATCTGTTAAGCGAGAAACAGCCAGCCAGCAGCCCTCTCAGCCCAGAGGATGGATGGTCCCCACAAAGCCTCAGAGGAGGTGTCCTGTGTAGAGGTCACGGTGCCCATGCACAGGCCTGTGCTTTATGCTTCACATAATCTAATCTGGAGCGCCATGCAGATGCTGTACTACGGTCATGTCAACAATAGAAAACCACGATAATTAAATCACGTCTGCATACCTCAGATTGAAGTTTAAGCCAGCAGTGAATCAGTCACCGGCACCAACTGGACGCCCCCCCCACACAAGCTGTGCGACCACTCTGGATAAAACACACACACACACACATACAAAAAAAAACGCAGATCAGCATGAGGAAGCAGAGAAAGAAATACGGTTTTTTTAATTATATAGTCGCTCGGACATAGTGTCAACATTAATATAGCTCATTAAAAAGGCAGTATATAAAAAAACTAAGTGGTTTTCAAGCACATTTAAAACCATAAAAACATTTTTAGTAGCCTATAACTCAGAAATTAGACCAAATATGCTCGTAGCAAGAAGTTAAATCGTATCCTTACAAATCTCTTTTTAAAAAATTGCGTTTTTCTAAATTTTGCCGTAAATGTGTCACCTGATTCGGTTCCGATCCTCTCTGGAAGGCAGGTCCGCCCCGGTCTGAGATGGTTCCTCCGGTGGTTCAAGCACTTTTATGTGCCACTCAATCCCCCCCCCCCAACCCCCCCGAGCTGGGAGCGTGCACGCGCCTCTAAGACCGCCCATTTAAGCAGCTGACGGTGCGCGTTCACAGGACTCACAGGAGAGGAGAACAGGGTGTTAGGAGGGAGGGGGGAACACAGCAGGGGGGGCGAGGAGGAAAAGAAGTCTTCTGGTTCCTGAATCCACCGCAGAGGTTATTTGTTAGTCATCTTCATGTAGCATTTCTTGGTCACTGATCTCTTTTTACATACAGTGAGATTAAACTTATAATAAGGATCAAATGTGACCAAGCAAATGCAACTTGGGGTCGTGCCAAATGGAATTAGAGGGAACAATAACAGGTAACCTGTTTTTAAAGCTGGTTATTCTCCCCTGCTTCAACAGGATGATCTGGATTTGTGTTGGTGTGGCGATAAGCACAGCAGGAAGACGTTTCCTGACCCTCTGATCTGATGGAAATTCACAGGGAAAAAAGGGCTCAGCGTTTGAGGGGAAAACTTAGAATATCAAACGGCAAGCATTCCCATCCAGCCCCAGACGGCAGCGCAGAAGCGGGGGCCCCCCCCCCCCCCCCCGCCACAGAAACCCTGCAAGCGCGCCGATTAATGAGCGTGGAGCCCTCCCCGTCTTTATCTGCCCGCTGCCAGACGCAGCTTCCTCCCTCCCCCGGACCACGGAGCGGAATGACTAACAGCTGGGGAGGCCGACTATTTCCAAACCCAAAGGGGAAGGGAGATGTGCAGACGGTGGGTTATTATCCCCTCTGCTGGTGAAGGGAGCCTCGGTACCTGACCACCCACTCGCCCACTGTGACTCACACACTCTTCTGCTGGGCTACCTTATAGGATCGTGACTCATTTAAGAGCACAGGTGGTGGTGGAGGACTGGTCGCCTTTAGGAGGTATTCGAGCAAAAATAAATGTGTTCAACAAGAGTGAGGCCGTTGGAATAATGGTAACAGATACTGGACTGGAGATTAAAGAGTGGGAGTAAGCCAGAACAGATTGTCCAGACGTTTGAACACAAAGGGAGAAAATGGAGGGTCGCAGTGACCAACAGGCCGGCAGAGCCCTCAGGGTCACAGCCGGCCTGCAGACGGGTCAGCCAACGCACCACGCCACATTCCCAATGACCCTGGAATAACAGGAAAAAAACAGGACTCCTGCAAAGAACTGAAAACAAACCGCGGTGGTGGACACCTTCCAGTAAGGCTCAGCGAGCAGGCGCTAAAATCTAAATCCTATTATCAGAAACATTTCATATTAATTCATCTATTGTTTGCGTCTGTGCAGGGGAGAAGAAAAAAGAAAAGAAAACAAACAAAAACGCTGGAAAATTCCATTGTCATCATGGCTACTTGTTTTTACTTCTCAAAGTTAGCAGTCAGTTAAATGTACATTATCAAAAAAAGGCCCAACTTTTTCACTTCTCCTCAATCTCCAGATAACATACAAAAAAAGACAAACCGGGACATTATAAAGCTGCACATTTTGTACCAGATACAATAATAAAATACGCAATGCTACATTAAGTGGTTAAAAATACAAAGGGGAAAGTATATTGATTTGTTTTAAAACATCTTTAAAGAATATACAATGTTATTTTTTTTTCTTAACTACTCAAGAATTTTAGTAGAAAGTGCATTCTATATAACAAAGAAAGGAGGAGGAGAATCATTCTGCAACCAGACAAACAAGATGCGACAGAGATGGGGGGGGGAAAAATGAACTGATGATGAAGAATGTTATTTAACAGATTGCATGGAGGGGCTAGAGTGAAGATGCCAAAGCAGGAGGACGTCTCTTTCACTTTCAATGTGTGTGGGGGGGGTCTTTATTGGAGGAATATCATATTTGAACAAAGATTATAAAACACAAGTGCGCGGGAATTAAAATTTTGTTTAAAAGAAATGTCCTTTGTTTGCCATGGCCCCTTTCACACTACCCGCCTCCACCCGGGATTCTCCTCCTTTCCTTGCCTAAAAACATCCACTTAAGAGAAATCACCTCCACCCTTCCCCATGCAGCCGGAGCTGCGCTGTGTTCCACAATGCATCGTCAGTCCTATCCCCGTTCCCTGCGCCTCACCCACGCAGCAGTAAAGTGCAGAGAATACACACAAATGAAAGGCTTCAAAAGGAGAGAGAGAGAAAAAAAAAAACACATGAGAAAAAGGATCCATACTGCAAAACGCTGAACCGCAGCAGTGAATTCCAGGGGACTGGCTGAATAGCGACTATTGCAGCAGTATTAAGACCCATAGAAATGGCAGGATAATGGCCAGCCTCCGGTCCCGGCCCGGAGCGGGATACGGCGTGAGGCGGTCCCGCTCCGGGCCGGAACGTCGGCCTACTGCTATCGTCCACGTCCGAGTAACCCCCGACGTGGACGTTACCGGGGCGCGCCGTAAAAGCAGCTTTTGGTTCAAGAGCACTGGGG